TGTCTACGTCGATATACCTCTTCCGAGTATATCACTAAATGGTAGTATAAGTCCTCCCCCTGCGCCGCGACGATGGTGATGCTTTGGAATTTTGTGGTCCAAGTGCTTTTGGCGCGTATGTAAGTCGGTGGCATGTCAGTCGAAGAAAGCCTCATTAGCTCCAAATAATGCAAGGTGACTTCTCTGATGAACGCGTCCTCAGTGATGTTCCCGTCATCGGTGACTACGAGAAGGTAAGGCGGTGAGATCATGCCCAGCGTATTCCATTCGTGTAACAGAGACGCTAGGACTTCGGCTGATTTTGATAATCCGCCTAGATCGTCGATGAATAGAGCTACCAAGTGACTTAAAGGACAGAATACTTGAGCGTATAGTTGTTTTACAACTGTAGGCGAAGGCGTAATCCTGTCCAAGAAATGTTTTGTGTACTGTGACGAGACTGGCCCAGCTTTGACTCTTGTTCGGATCGTTGGAAACAGAGGACATTCGATTACGAAGCTTTCGTCGTCCAGTTTTCTCAGGTTAACGTCTTCGGCATCTGACTTCGGGCAAGTCAAGAAAGTAAGCACCTTGGACGCACACATTGTCCTAAAGACTGATCGATCTTCAACGATAAAGGCCCCTGGAAGACCCGGGGCATTTGTCCGAAGCTGCAGCCAAGCCATCGTAAAGTTCATGTGACATGCTGAAAAATATGGACGGAATTTCGACCGCTCTGATGATATGGTGTATATACGGCCGAGGTCCTGTTCTGAGTAAAACATGATCTAGTCTCCGGTATGCTATTTACATAATCAGCGATTAACAACTCCATGATTCAGTTTGTTGATAACAGTTACACTAATGCATTGTTCGAAAACAATAGATCTTTTATAAGCGGACTGAAGTTATTTGCGTCTAGCCAAATGACGGTGACTTGATAAGGGTGTCAAGCTCTCACATCTTCTGCGAACGAAGCGAAGAGAAGGAAGAGGCACATCAACCGCCTTCCACTGTGAGTCAACTACGCCACTAATTGTTCCTATAATAGCTCTGCACACCATGCACCGTTTCCAATGCGAAAGTGAGGCTCTCAGGTCCTGTAGGCACTTCAATAGGTATGCTGGGCACTCTTGGGGCAAGTCTAAATACAAGACGTCGCGCTGAAAAGAAGGTAATGGGAGGATTTCATGCGGTACGTAAGCAGCGCGGCACTTTGAATAGCCAGGTTCGTCGTCATTCACGATGCCTAAGACACCACCCTAGCACGGAATCCCATGCCTTGTCCTGTGATGAGCAATGGCATCGACATTATTCAGAGATCTGAGCAACTCGTTTCATTGTATACAACATGAGATGGCGACCAGATAGAAGTTGGACGGCACATTCAAAGCTGAGGAGCTAGCTCAACCGGTGATCATCGGGAAGGGCAAAATGTCCTGCTGTTGTAAAGGAAACAAGACGAGTACTGTTGGCAGTGCTCGCCACTCTGGCAGTCCTGTCATCAGATGGCAGCGGTCCTCCAGCAGCCCCTCTAGCGCTTAAGCCCACAGGGCAGGTTTAGTATCATACACATCACGTTCCTTCCAAATTTGTTGTTGTTTGTTGTTTGGTATTTAACGCCGTGGCGGCAAGGGCGCAGACGCCCTTGCGGCAGACCTCCCGAAGGGTATATGGCGTGGAGGGCCGCAGATTCTAGCTGTATACTCTAAGCACATGCCGCTTCTTAGCGTCCTCCAAGTCTTGCCCGTAGGCTACTATGTGTTCTATCCTTCCCTAGTTCCCACTGGTGCCCTAGTTCCGTTGTAATAACCTTATTACCTAGTAGTGGTAGTTTGTTGCTTAGAGAGTAGGCTACAGCCTATCTCTCAGTACCGCGGGCAGATCTTCTGGAAGAAGTCTGTCACGCTGATGAAAGCCTGGAAGCCTTCTGAGTCGATGATTAGCCCCTTAAAGTAACGCTCTAGAGAACCCATAGGTCCTAGAGGCTCCCGTCGACTATAAGGGTGAAGGGTGGGCCACCGTTGCCTCCTCACTAGCGTCTTTCGGCAGTAGACCAGGTGGTCCACCTCCTTAGCTTCTCCGCAGGAGCAGGTGAGTAGTGCTTCTGTGTGGTTAAAGCGTTGATGATACTGTTCAAAGTCCCCGTGGCCTGATCGAGCTGCTAGGAGATGATGAAGGATAGCTCTTGGTAGGGCTAATTCAGGAGGGCAGCCAAGGGTGGCCTTAAGCCCTAGCTGGGTATACCGGGGGGTTGCCTCTCGCTTCCACCATTTCCTATGCTGGCGTTGTTTACGTTCTTTAGCAAGCCGCCTAATCCCTGATAGGGTCGGCAGTAGGCCCCTAGGGACTGGCAGGGTTGTGCCCTCCTTAGCTAGGTTATCTGCTTCCTCGTTTCCTCTGATACCTTGGTGCCCTGGAGACCAATGGGTTTGTATGTTGTGTATCCTGGCTGCTGCCTGAATCTCTAAGAAGGCAGCTTGTGAGGAGTCCGGGATGTTGCCGCGTATCCCCTGGATGACGCTGGTGTTATCAATACAGATGTGTATAGGCTGGCCTTGGGAGGTAAGGAGGGCCCTTTGGAGCCCTGCCCTCGCCCCCTCTGCCTCGCCATCGAATACTTCTGCAATGCTGAGACGGCCACACCCTTGGGCTATCCGTTTATTGCCGCGGTAGATGACAAAGCCGAACCCTGTAGCCCCATCAGGGGCTTTAGAGCCGTCTGAGTAGATAATTGTGTGGTTATCTGGCACAGTCTTAACATAGTCCTGAAACGCTTTAGCTGCCTTCTCCTTGCTCTGGCTAGCTGTAGGGTCTTGTGATCCCGAGAGATGCTGTGGCTGTAGGAGCAACGGCCTTGAGCATTTCGGTAGGAGGGCTGCTGTTCTTTGTAACCTTGTTTGCTGCCGTCCTAGCTGTGAAAGCCTAGGGACTAAGGGGTGCTGTTGGTCAACCTTCTGTAGGCGCGTGGCAAAGCATAAGCGTGCTGCCTCAAGAGCTACTTTTGCTGTAGGCAGGCCAGCATCTCGGAGAAGGCTGCTGGTTGGGGTGGTCCTCCAGACAGGCAGGATAGCCCTTGCTGCTGCTGTGATAACCTTTCCAACACTCTTAACCAGGCCCTTCTGTCCTGTACTGATAGTAGCTACCTGGTTGGTAGCACTGCTGCTAGCGGTAGTAGTGCCACTGTTCCTGGCTGGTCTACTTAAACCTGCATACCAGGTCTCAGCTCCATACAGGGCTGTTGGGAGGACACAGGCAATAACAGCTTGGCGGGCAGCAGCAGCTGGGAGCCCCCCTTTGGTGTTTAACAGGTGCTGTAGGAACTGGGCTGCCTTCCTTGCTGCTGCTACCTTTATATCGACGTGGTGCCGGAAGGTAAGTCTTTTGTCGAACCAGACCCCTAGCCAACGTATAGGCTTAGTTGAGGCCTTAATAGTTAGGTCTCTTGCTTGTATGTCTGGTAGATCTCTTGTCTGGTTATGTTTCCTGCTAAAGTGGATTGCTTCACACTTAGCTGGGTCGAACGCAACCTTATTATCAGTGCCCCAGTTGAGGATCCGAGTTATCTCCTGGCCAAGGGCTGCGGTGTTTCCCTCCAGGGAAGGGCTAGTAGCCAGCAGGCCTATATCATCCGCATAGCCAAACCGTAGCTTCTGATCGTCAGCTAGGATGTCTGCTATATACAGCAGAAAGAGTATAGGGGATAGCGGGGAGCCTTGTGGCAGCCCACAGGATAGGGGAAAGTCCTCTGTAGTAGTGTCCTCGAGCCTAACTCGAGCTGTGCGACTCAACGTGAAGGTGAAGATCAGCCTAATCAGACTACTAGGCCAGCCCTGCTGTCGTAGCCTAAGGATAAGTCTACCTGTCCATCTACTATAAGAGGCGGGGCCCTTACAGCTAGACCAGACTTACGCCAGCTTAGTATCTGATATAGGTTCTGGTTAGACCTAGCCTCCTTAATCTTAGTAGCCCAGTAGGCACGTTTTGCCTTCCTAACTGTGGTCAGAAAGGCCTTCTGCTCCTCAAGGATAGGCGGCGGTAAGACAAGCCCAGGTTCCTGGGCTTGTCGTTGTCTAGCCTTAATAGCTGCATGGTGGGCCTCTGAACACACCTCTGTCCACCAGGGGGCTCCCCTGCCCTGGTTAGTCCGTCTCTTTCCTACAGCCTGAGTAGCTGTAGAGAGGAGGCTGACTAGTTGGGTAGCTAGGGTATCTATTTCTGCTGGAGTAGGTGTATCCCCTAAGGTGGGTAGGGCTGGGATCCCCATCTTTACCAAATCAGCAAGTCGAAGGAGGGCTGAGTCTGGGACTGAGAGGTGACCAGTCTGGCGTCTCTGCTCCTGGATCTTGCCTAGTAGGATAATAGTTGTAATAGCCTGGTGGTCAGCCCCCGGATGTAGGTGTGGGCTGATATAGGCCTCTGCGAAGGGGATATTTGAGAAGGTAAGGTCGAGTGTATGCCCGTGAGTATGGGTAGAGGCCCCAACTTCCCCAATAAACTCAAGATTACCCCCTTCAGCCCATTCTGCGATATCATCCCCTTGATTCCGGCTTAGAGAGCCAGGTTCCCAAGAAGAGTGGCGGGCATTAAGATCCCCAGCAATAAGGGCTTTTTCTGGCGGTCGATAGTTTAGGAGGATGTTTGTTGTTGTATGGTTTGCAGGTTCACCTGGTGGCCTGTAGATGTTCATAATAGTAATATCGCCAGCCTTGATCCATAGGATGTCCCTTGATTGGGTTGGTCTTTGTTGCTGTATTTGTAGCCTTAGACTCTTCCGTATATAGGTCATAACCCTAGGCCTTGTGTCTCTGCTGTTCCAGAAGTCAACTGGCACATAAGAGTTATAGCCTGGGTGTGTGTTGATTTGCAGCTTATCTCTATAGCCTATCCAGGGCTCCTGGATTAGTACTATATCGATCTGATCTGCCCAGCAGAGCTCTAGGAAAGCTGTATGAGCTGGGCTTATCTTCCCCACGTTACACTGGGCGACCCGTAGTACCTGTGGGGTAGCCGTTCTGAGCCTACTGCTCTGAGTCGAGGTCGAGGTGGGTGTAGGCATTAACAACGTTATAGTCAGGCTTCTGAGCTACCCGCTGGGCCCTGCTGCTTGAGGCAGCTGGGATATGCTGGGTGGGTAGTGGTGGTAGGATAGGGTTGTTATCAGAGACTTCTGCTTCAGCCTCATTCTCATCCTCATCCATACTGCTAGAGCTTGCTGTATCGCTAACGTCCGCTACAATAATTGAGTCCTGGGTAGGGGTAGGGGCGCGTGGTCGCTTCGAGCCAGGCTGAGGGCTTGTCAGGCTGCTGCTAGGCTGCTGGTTGCAGGTGGCTTGGCTACCTGCCTGGCTGCTCTGATAGAGGGCCTCGTAGGCCTTCTGTCCAGCCTTTCGGATCTGGGAGAGTTCCTTCCGACCTGGAAGGGTAGGGGAGCCGTTCACCACCAGGGGCCTTGCTGGGCAGTCCTTGTGGTTAGCTTGGAAGGGGCCGGCGCAGTTAGCGCACTTCGGTCTAGCTGTGCAGGGCCAGGTCTCATGGGAGCCTGAGGGCCTGCTGCAGTTGCCACAGAGCGGCTGTCGGTTACAGTATCGGTTCGAATGGTATCCCTGGCAGCCAGGGTCATGTCTGATGAGGGTCTTTTTCTTCCGAATAAGCTGAGACCGGCTGCTTTGGTTAAAAAGTCTAAAGGGCGGCACCTCCATAGAGAAGGAGATAATCCAGGAGACCTCGTTTGTAATAGGGTTTACACCTAGGCGGGACTGTTGGGCCCGGGTGGGCTTAAGCCCTGTTTGGGCGAGGACCTCGTCTTCAACCAGAGCAGCTGGGTCAAGGGCATCGCCTTCAAGAGTCCACATCTTAGCAGGGCAGCGTGGGACGACATAAGTAAACCACTTAGTAGGGGACTCAACCTTATAAGCTCCCAGACTATCAGCGAGTTTCTGCTTGTTTGTGAGGAGGGCTTGCTGGACCTGCTTATTCAGAGGTCCCAGCGAGTAGCCAGTTGTAATGTGGTAGATATGTGGGATATCTGCCAGCTGGAGGCTAAGGGCCTGGCAGACTTTCCGACGAAGGGCAAAAGGGGCGTGCTTCCTAGCAGCCGTTAAACCCTCCTCAGGGATGCGGGCAAAGACCCGGAGGTCCTCCTGTGGCTGGGTTAGAGTCTGAGTCTGGGCCTGGGGCTGGATTGGGTTCCGGGTGCGGGCTGGGGCCGGGGCTGGGGCTGCAGCTGCAGTTGCAGCTGAGGCCGCCACGTCAGCCCAGTTCCGGCTTGGGTTCGGGGCTGCAGACTCATTCCACATAATCCTCTTCAAGGCTTGGATCACATAGGTTGTAGCCTCCTTCGCGATCTGCTTCCTAGGTCCCTCAAAGCAAGAGACCACGTTATCCACAGACTGGGCGATAGCCATAAAGACATCCTTTCGGGCTTCATAGTGCTTAGCCTCTTCGTTAAGGGCTGTAAGGATAGCTCCAGCAGCTATCCCATTCACGGTTGAGGGCCCCTTAGCCGTTAAGGGGGTTGTCGTAGAGGCGTCAGGCTGGCTTCCCGCGAGGCTGGGCTGGGATAGCTGGGCCTCGGTACCGCGGCGGCGTTTAGCCCTTGAGGTTGGGGACGGCTCCAGAGGGGCTCTGGAGCCTCGATCAGGGCCGGCCGAGGAGGCCGGCAAAGGTCCAGAGCCCGCCGGAGGCTGCGAGGCCATCGCGGGAGGGCGCTGGAGGCGAGAGGTGAAGGGTTTTCAGCTGTTAAGGAATTTTGGTAGTCTCCCACGTATTACACTAACAGTGGATGCCAAGAAAAATTAGGCGAGAGGGAAGTCCGTTCCTTCCAAAAGTACAGTGTACTGTATAGATCTGTGCCAACGTGAATCAAACGGAGCAATTTGCCGAGGCCTGCTGACTCAACAGACGCCCACTGCCACTGCGTTACGTAGTCATCTGTGCATAAGCTTGTTTTGCAGCTGGGATACTATCACGAGACCATGCACGGGACCGCCAGGGTGGTTGCGAGGGTATCGCGAGTCATGGCGAGCCCCTTTTCTTGTAGTGATGCGCTGCTCACAGCAGCGCGATCTGTTTTTCCTATTTATCTCGCTACGTCATGCATCTAGTTGAATTGTCCACAGGACCTGGAACCCTCACAGATGCTGTCGCATGAACCTGTATCGAACGCAGGTCGATTACCAAATACACCGTACCAGGGCTTGCGACAGTCTGCGAAGGACAGTGTCCACTCAGTTGAGAAACGGCGGCAGGGGCACGAGGCAAGCCATCGATCCTCTGTAGCGTTTTGGTACTATATTAGCCGCAGCAGTGCTTGAATGTTCACAAGCGGGGAATGCCTGGATAAGGTCCGTTATGCTAGAAAAGAGAATTGAGATAGAGGAAGCAGTTTTCTCACTCAAGTCTAGAATTAAGGTGCATCTGGGATGTACCCGTTATTCTAGAATGCCCTCGTCATTATCCAAAATACAAGAAGCAGTATTGTCACTCAGTTCTGGAATTGAGGTACATCTGGGATGTACCCGTTATTCTAGAATGCCCTCAACATTATCCAAAACACAAGAAGCAGTATTGTCACTCAGTTCTGGAATTGAGGTACATCTGGGATGTACCCGTTATTCTAGAATGCCCTCAACATTATCCAAATACAAAAAGCAGTATTATCACTTAGTTCTGGAATTGAGATACATCTGGGATGTACCCGTTATTCTAGAATGCCCTCAACATTATCCAAAATACAAGAAGCAGTATTGTCACTCAGTTCTGGAATTGAGATACATCTGGGATGTACCCGTTATTCTAGAATGCCCTCAACATTATCCAAAACACAAGAAGCAGTATTGTCACTCAGTTCTGGAATTGAGGTACATCTGGGATGTACCCGTTATTCTAGAATGCCCACGTTATTCAAAATACAAGAAGCAGTATTGTCGCTCAGTTCTGGAATTGAGGTACATCTGGGATGTAGGGGATGTACCCGTTATTCTAGAATGCCCTCAACATTATCCAAGTACAAAAAGCAGTATTATCACTTAGTTCTGGAATTGAGATACATCTGGGATGTACCCGTTATTCTAGAATGCCCTCAACATTATCCAAATACAAAAAGCAGTATTGTCACTCAGTTCTGGAATTGAGTTGCGTCTGAGATGTATTTATGTTCTATGGTGCATACGAGCGACGTCATGTTTGTGAACGAACGACCAATGTTCCAGGAAGAGAAGTCTTACGTAGTTCGAAATCAATCCGTGTAACTGGTACAGCCTAACTAGTTAGGTTGCTGGCCGGCGTAACTGTATGGTACAAAACAGGGGAGAATGATACTGTTATAGAGGTATCATTACCAAAGCTTTTGCTTCGTGCTGCATTTGGTTCTTGACCCGCTCGTAACAGGAACGAACGCCATCAAAGAAATAGAGGAAGTAGACATATTTACTGCGGTCATATGTTACGAGTGGGTCAGGGCAACCAACTGTGGCACAAAGCAAAAGCTTCGATAATGACAAATCCGTTGTCATTGTCCCCTGTTCTGCACTATATAGTTACAAACCTACAGTGACCAACTGTAGCGGTCGTAACATCATAATAGAGATATATATAGAACAGGGGATAGTTATGCTAGAATTAGAGACTTGTCAATAATCCCAACTCCATCTTCGATAAGTTTAACATGCTAACAACTGCTGTGCAAGGCTATCACGTGTGAATCGAAGCAAGTCTCTAACTTTAAGAGATTTGAAGAAAAGGGTCCGTGACATTTCATCCCTCCGAGTACCTGGCAAAATATTGGAGTTGACTCCGCGTCTCATCACGTACTAATTGGAAGTTTCACAATACACCGAATTATTTTCATGATCACATAATGTAAGATATATAAGCCCGCTATATTGAGTAAAGAAGCTACAGCAAGAAAACACACTCTGAGTAGTAACAAATGGCGCGCTTCAGACAATGTTGCCATCAAGGTCATTTGACACCTTGATTGCGGTCGGAGTGGAGGGACTATGGGGCTGCCATTTCTGTTCCTCGGTCTTTTTCGTTAGCGCACAAGGAATGTCACATTGTGTGTCTGGCTTCGTACCTGCTTCTTGACATCGGTAAGGCGGTCTTCTAGATCCGAAACGCGGCACTGTAGAAGGTACAAAGCCTCGGACAAATCAGCGCAAGTCGTGTGATACGCTTGCTGCCAGTAGGCAGCAGCTGTCTGGTGCCGTTCGACATCTTTCTTCCAGGGATTGCCGTTGTCGTGGTTGTAGTAAACCAAAGTAGAAGGGAACTGAAGCTCCCATCGCGGATCAAACATGCTGGGCGGAGTTGGTGGAGCAGATAGCAACGACGGTTGCAGTTGGCCTGGTATGTGGGAAGGTCGATGAGGCGGTGTCGGCAGCGGCTTCCCAGCTGCATCCAAGAGTTGTTCGGGGCTGGACAACCCAAAGCGTCGATTGCGAGGAGTGAATGGTTTGGAAAAATCAATCTGATGGCTCGGGAGGAGAGTTGGGGGAACCTTGCCCCGGCCAAGTCGAGCGTTGGAGAAAGAATCAGCGTTCATCGTGTATCGCGGTTGTGTTTATCAGCATGATTTAGAGTGATTCTGTTAGGAAAACAGCATTCATTTATAGTTAAATGCTATGGTGATATAACCCGTGAAAGTAACGCGCAGAGCTAAAGATAGAAGTAGCATGATAGTGAAAGACCAGGAGCGCTTCTGTCAGGCCGTGAAGGAGACAAGGTGAACGAACAACGCCGCAAGAGCCATTGTAAAGTTTGCCACGTTGCATGCAATCCCAACGATCCCAAGCCGGCTTAGCTCACCCTCCACCACGTTCTCAAAGACTATGCTCGTCTCTCTCACCAGTATTGCGGTCAGGGTCGGGCTCAAGACTACCGGGACTAGCAGCGCACACAACACTAAGATCATAAGGCATTGAAGGCGCCTCAAAATCTGCTGTCGACCCGTCATAGCGAGAATTAAGAACAAAATCGGGGGAGCCGTAAAGAGGAAGGTCACTACCCCCAGAGATATGAAAAGGCCATGAAGCAAGGGAAGGTATCCGAGGACATCGTCTAGTCCATTCATCGATGGTACCAAATGTTTGATAGTATCGAGGTGGTCGAGGTTGACGCAATGTCGTTCGTCTTCATAATTTAAGCAGGTTCTCGTGAGACCAATTGTGAGATCCTGGAGACGCCGATGGATATCGTTTGGCAGGACGTTCGTATTATTGAGCTAACTGACTTAGACCACACGACACCGGGCACGAAGATTCTCGGGCTTACCTGAACAGTGAAAATACCGGCATCTTGAATGTCCGGAAGACTTAGATTCATCCCAATCACGACACAATGAATTACTGCTACTATGGTACAGGTGACGGTAAGAAAAATGAGGATGCTGCGATACATTGACATTGTGATTGTGGCTCAATCTTTGTGAGGCGGGAACGTGAGAGGAAACAGGCTTGCCTCATTCAGGATCACATAAGTTTGCCGTGTACTTATTTAAATGATCAACAATCTGAGGAAGAGTCTATGATTCAAAAACTTTGTTCAAGCATCCTGATTTCCAGCATATCTAATCAACTTTGCGATTCCGGAAAACCCACTTACATCAGTAAAATTAGCTGGCATTGATATCGGGCCCGTTTCCGCTGACATTCAACTTCTGGCCTTCCTTGATAGACTCCACGTGCTTCAGCATGCCCCTGAGAGCGGATTTCACTGTAGCTTCGCACATGAGAATTCTTTCCGCTTCATCATCTTCGATAAATACGTCAATATTATGAGAAGTCTGGACTCTGATCCGACAGACTGATCGCCAGGCGCAGAGGAGATTCATGAGGCACTGGAACAGAATTTTGAAGTCTGCCATATCGCTAGAAAATAACTCATCAAGCCGAGGCATTTTTTCCTGGTAAGTCTGTCCGTGGATAGTCAGGATCTCCTGAATCAAGACTGGATCCATAGAATGCTCTGCCAGCTTTCCCTTCGCTATTTCCTTCATTAGATAGCAGGTCTGATGTAAGGCTTGCTCGTCCGTAGCATTATGCCATCCAGATATGATGGCTATGGGGTCCCGTTCACTTGGGCTGGGCGCTGCCCCTCTGAAAAAGGCCTCGTTCATGCTCAAATGGCCAGGCGTCTGAGAATATGGGTGCAGGGAAGGAGTAGCGTACGCCGAATGGAAGTTGCTGTCCGCATCGAAGACATATGGAAATTCGGAATTCGGCTGATAGATGCTAGGAAATTCGATGGTTGGATTGAATGGCGCAGGACTCTGCTGCTGATTCGGATCATTGTGAACAGACAAGTTTTGAGAACTCATATCTTTAGGTCTGGGATTCTATTGAAGCTGATATAAAGACTATACAGACGTTGGCTGGGTTGGCATGAAGATGATGAGCGCGATAATGTGAAGAGACTTTATAACAGTACTACGAGTACGCATTGAGACCTCTGCGTGATCCAGTTCACACTTTTCTAGTTACGCTTAGATGTAAATAATCTCCTGAAACCTGAATACTCTAAATGGCCATCTCGATTGCTTGTTGCTCAGGAATCGATATAGCAAATACCTCTTGTCGTCTTCCATCACGATAGAAGGACACTCGAGGCTTGTTCCATCCAGCACCCCGTTGCAAACAACGCCTAAACACCGTTCAGCATCCCTAATGCAGGTGAAGAATGATTGCCAGGTTCCTTG